TCATAATTATATAGTTTTGATACTCCTTACACTGGACGTTGGCTTCAGGTTATATGTCAAAATCCAACGTCCAGTGTGGTCAGTTTCATCTTTTACGACCGAAATAGCGCAATATCCGGGCATTTCAGTGAGAAGTAAACATGTACTGCACTACGCTGTCGACCGACAACACAGTGTCATTTATGAGCCTAGAGCACAGGCATTTGTTTCTGTCAATAAAAATAGTCATGAGAAAACAAATCACATCCTACTCATATTTTATGATTAGGGTGTGATTCTTTTCTCATGACAATTTATATTGACAGAAACAAAAGCCTGTGGCCGCCTGGAGTTCATTCTTAATGAATTCTTGGGATTTACAAAATACATCGCAAGTAAAAGTTGTAAGTATCATAATTATATTCCTCTAATACGATATTTCAGTTCACAGTTGGATTCGAATAACAAGAGGCCCATGGGCCTTAACGGTCACCTGAGTCCTACATTATTTATTTTTGTTGTTGAAATATGTACCAATTTGAGTAAAAAATAGTTAAGTATAATGTTAACTTAACTTTGTCAGGACCATGAGCTGATCATTCCTAGACCGATTTTCAGTGAGATGGGCCTATTAGAACTTGTTTTTAAGTTTGAAATAGGTATTTACAAAATAGCGGCCATGGCAGCCAAATTGTATTTCTGATTGACCCGAAAAATAACAACACTTTGTCAGGACCATGAGGCGATCATTCCTACCAACTTTCAGTTCAATCGGTCCAGCAGAACTTGACTTTAAGTTTGAAATAGGTTTTCAAAATGGCGGCCGTGGCGGCCATATTGGATTTCTGATCGACCCGAAAAATAACAACACTTTGTCAGGACCATGAGGCGATCATTCCTACCAACTTTCAGTTCAATCGGTCCAGCAGAACTTGACTTTAAGTTTGAAATAGGTTTTCAAAATGGCGGCCGTGGCGGCCATATTGGATTTCTGATCGACCCGAAAAATAACAACACTTTGTCAGGACCATGAGGCGATCATTCCTACCAACTTTCAGTTCAATCGGCCCAGCAGAACTTGACTTTAAGTTTGAAATGTAAAATGTTAACGGACGACTGACGACGGACGACGAGGGACGAAAACGGATAGCAATAGGTCACTTGAGCTAAAGCTCAGGTGACCTAAAAACGAACAGGTTTAATTAGAGCATGCACGCACTGAGTGGGTGCCGCAGAAAGTACGATATCAATAGGTTTAAACGTAAAATAGATCATTCGATCATTTATAACGATGTTTGAGATGCTGTTGAAAGATGATACTTGTATTCCAGAGAGGCTAGGTGAATAACGCGAGAAGTTCCCTTCTCTACTCGGCTTGAAAGACATCGTGTTAGCTAGAAATTCACCGACAGCTGCCGATAAAACGTACGTCAGTACAGTTAAGGATTTCTCCATTACTGATTAAAAACGCCAAGAAAACATTGTCTCTTGTCAATTTCTGAACACGATTGTTCATAAGGAATATCAAACTATATAATCATGAAGAGTTTTGTGACAAGGTTATACAAACACTTACTTCACTAAACTGTCCCTTTAACATTGCAAAATATCCGTGTCGTTGATGACTCATGTCCCGTATAAAACCTGATAACAAGTAGTAGTGATTGTGTTTCAACGTTGATGAGCACTACTATAAAGGACTATATTTATCTATCTAGTACGTCCTGGGATGGTGGGGTCAAACCTCTTACTAGATACCATATATTGCTCATTGAGAACTTGATGACGAATTATACAAACTGATCGTACCGTTACATAAATAGCACCTGATTCGATCATGCCGTGATCAGCTAACCTTGACTGTTAACTTCACCGCATATCAGTCTAAGGACTGCTAAAGTCGAGGGTTAAACCTACAGTATTCACAATAGCTAGATAGATGTTGAAACAACAATGATAATTATTATTTGATTCTTCACGGCTCATTAACACAAATGAAGTAATTAGGGCCAATAACGGTAGATAAAACATGTTAAAGGAAACGACATCAAATGAACACTGAAAGGATAAAAAGACAAACGGCAACTTGAAAATTTAAAATAGCTATAGTGAATTATATCTTTCTGAACTGATCAAAAGGTTTTAGGTAGGTTAAAATTGTTGATATATTTACTGTTTCGAAAAGAGATTTGAGATATTAAATCATTATAAAATGGTCGCTTGTTGGCTGAAGGTCAATTCAGTTTAATAACTAGTGTTTTACTATAAATGGTTCGCGACATACTATGCATTGAGGCTGGTCTTCGCTTTTTAATGAATAAAACTAAGCAATTTATGTATTACCAATCCGGAGACGAGTATTGACACACCTCGCCTCGGCGGTTTTTTTCTGTACCTGGATTACCATTAATTAATTTCAGGCTTTACAGTGTACAGATTTGTTGTCTACGAATAAATTCTTATTATGATGCTACTTTGACCTTACATATTTTGTTATTATATATAGAGCACATCACACCTGCGCTATACCTTACACATTTTATTATTATACTGGTTACCTGTACGATACAGGTCGCAGTACAAAATTCTGGTATACACATACAAGGCACTGAATGGAACAACTCCTCAGTACCTACAGGAGCTTGTTACCCTGTATCCCGTCAAGATCACTGTGGTCGGAGTCAGAATCTTTGTTGTGTGTCCCAAAATCTCTTACTGTGACCTACGGTAACAGATGCTTTGGGAAGGTTTCGGCTACGTTGTGGAATAGCTTACCATCTGCTATTAGGAAGTCAAATACCCTGGCCAAGTTCAAGAGGGACATAACAATTCACCTCTTCACGTCTGCTTTTTAGAATCTTTGCAAGACGTCATGCAAATACCACGCTTTTATTTTTTCAATTATGTGCACATTGCTTGTCAAATGTATGAAAGTGATTGCAAGCCTTTGTTGTTTGTTTCACAATTATAACCATTACTATTATCCATATGTTGTAAAGCGCCTTAGAGTAATTTTACAAATTATATAGGGCGCTATACAAATGTTGTATATTATTATTATTATTATTATTATATATCCCGGTTCAAAAATCTATAAAATGAAGTTTAAAATCAACAGGCGGTAGTAATAAAGCCGCTTAGGCATCGCGATCTGCCTTTATATATATATAACAGATATAGGTTAACAATACGAATCGGATATAATTAGTTGTTACACGCCACGACCGAAACTAGCAAATATTCATACTGCGGTGTTATTGGTTAACTTTCAAACGGTGAAAATATCAAAATTCCTCATCGATGGGAACATATCTTTCTTTTTAAACAACGGTGTGCATAAAAGCAGACAAGCCTTTCTTAAACTCTTACAAAGTGATGTTGGTTTGGTTTGGTTTGGTTTAGTATTGTTAAACGTCCTATCATGTAAGGACGGCCTCCCCTGTGTGCAAGATGCATGCGTGTAGTGTATGCGTGTGTGTTTTGTGAGGCTACGATATGTTTGTGTTTGTCTCCCTGTGATAGCGCGGAACTGATGCCGACTTTATAGTGCTACCTCACTTAAACATACTGCCGAAGACACCCAGCATGACACCCCATCCGGTCACATTATACGGACAACGGGCGAACCAGTCATCCCACTCCTAAATTGCTGAGCGTTAAGCAGGAGTAGAAACTACAATTTTTACAGACTCTGGCATGTTTCGGCCAGGGTACAGAACCCAAAGCCTTCCTGACAGGGGCAAACGCTCAACTAAAGGCCAAAAGTGAGGCATTGTCAAGGGAGACATTAGGAAGAAGAGTCAGAACAACACCTGAGAGTATCACGTGGCTTTCTACTACACATTATAATATCGTAGACATAATTCCGTAGCTAATATACCTCAGCCAAGATACCAGAGACATCCATTTACACGTCTGCTCATCTCGAGTTACTCTATCTCCTCCCTCGGACCCCAAAATTGTTAGTTCGATAGTCATTGAGTTTTTTAACGGCCTTTCAATACGTAAGAGGCTTTCACAGCCAAGCAATGGTAGATACAGCACGCAAAAGGAAACGATATCCAACGACAAAAGGATAAAATGACAAACGTCAACTTGATAAGAAAAAGTGGATATGGTTAATTACATCTATTTGAACAGACCAACAGTTTTCAGTCTTTTCCAATCATTCATTACTCATAGGTACGTGTACCTCAGGCCAGCCCTACAGCGGTAACAGTCTAACTCCCTGGCTAAGGCGCACGTCAAGCTTACTTCTATCAGCACGGTCCCTTTCCCAGTGTCTTCAGCTTTCACTTTAATGTTCCCTATTAACCAATTGCTTTAATCTACAAGGTACATGGACATAGCTTCACAAATATCATATTATCACAACATGTCAAACTAGTACTTTAATGAAGCAACATTATAATGACTTTCCTACAACCAAACTAGTCCGATTCATGCCACGTTATACTTCTATTTCTTCCAGGTTTTATTATTCAAATGTTAACTCTCATTTTATGTTAAACATATTATGCCGTTATTATATTACACGTTTTGTAAATTTCTTTTGTAAGATATCTTATAAATTGATGTTTTACACAGTTCACATTATATAATATAAATACCTTAATCTTAAAAACTATAGAAAGTGTCATGTATATTATATACAACATCTACCATACAATATGCGATATCTTTTATATTTTCATAAAATACATGACTGGCATTGACCCTTTAATAAATGTTATGTAGGCTTGCCACTTTCATATTTTTCATAGATAAAGTATTAAATGATACACGTATTATTATTTATGACCATATTTGGTATGACAATATTCACATGAGAACATCACGCTTGACTTTTGACTGTACACACGAAGGTGCGCTTGGTAAGTTTTGTAATACACAGCGAGTGACGTGAATATTTGGGTCAGGTCAAACTTATCAGTATCACATGAGTACAACCTTATACGTATCTGAACACACTATCAAGCCGGTGTATATATATACTTAGTAAATCACAGTCATATCGAACTATTACTCAGGCAGTTGATGCCAACACTTACACATCCTCATATTAAATCAATCATGGATTTCTACAAACGTATTCTAGTGTTAACAGTATACAGTGCTTTTGTGGTCAATTCCATCACGGCAGCTGATGAAATGTCTAACTATAACAAAATGTTTGCAAATATTTTTGAAGTCGCACAAAGGATGCATTCTACAGAAGAAGACAAGGTGGCAAAGGCAGAACTGTTTCGCAGCGGTTCAAGAGATATTTTTCACCCATACGTGCAGAAGTTTAAGAGCATTCTCGACAGTGAAGCAGTAAACAACCCTGATGTGTCTGAAGCCGTAAATATGTATAATCTGTCTGAAGCTGCAACGACATATAATGTGTCTGATGCTTGTTTAACAGACACAAAGCAAATCATACTTGCTTTTGAAAGAAACGAGCAATGGGTCATTAAATGTAAGTACGTATTGCAAAGTAAATTTATTGGGTCCGATTGTATATTTTCTAAAGACGTCAAAACGAATCGTGTTGAAGTTATTCGTATTTCGTAGAAATAAATTTTAAAATTCGAAATAAAGACATGCAGTTATCTTATGCCTCTTTTTCAAGGTATTGTACACAGATAAAAATCGAATTGTTATAAACGTTTAAAACGGTGGGATAGCGTTTGTTTGTCAATAATATGGTACTGTTAACACTGTATATGAATACAATGTATGGTATGAAAGAAACAAAAAGATGTGGATTTCGAATGAGTTTTATAGGTTTGTATTATTCTTACCCGTACTTATCTAATTTATCTGCTTCACAGTACTCGACGCCCTTGGCAAACCTTCCAGTGGTGTATTACAAGGAAACATCCAGTGGGCTGGGTCTTATGAGGAATGTAACGCTGTAGAAGGCAGGGTGTTTGTGAATATGGTGAATAACACAGGGCCACAATACACTCTCAAAGGCAAATACTGCAAAGGACAGCTGGATCTGGTACGTAACACTGCTATTTAATTCTGATCAGGTATTATTTATCAACATATACTACCATTATATGCTTCAGGGCACATCAACACAGACGAGGTCATTAGGGCTAATAAATGGTCGATAAATGTTAAATAAAAATGACATCGAACAAACGTAAAGGTAAAAGTCAAACGTCAACTTGAATGTTGAAGTGGCTATGGTAATTCATTTAAAAAAAAGAGACAAACAGCTTTCAGATATTGAAAAATTGTTGAGACAGTTATTGTTTCGAAAAGAGATTTAAGACATGTAACGTTAATATAGAAATTTTCTCGAGTTGGTTGAAGGTCGACACTCTTCCAAATCTTTAAATAATAATATAATCGTGTACACGATTTTACATGATGACAACAGCATTGTCCACTTTGATGTATTTAAGACTGTCTTTATTACCTCCTTTGTTTTTGTTCGATAAAAGGATTCTTTCTCGGCTTGCACATAAATAGCTGCACCCCGATTCATCAGTCCTTTTAACACTATACCTTAGGTTGCACTTACAAAATGTACCAAATACTACCACACTATAACCATACATATTTTAATATAATATAAGCTTAGAAAATAAATACTGTTCATGTTGTCAATTACAGGGTATAATGGGATTAAGTGCCACGCTCGGGACATGTGTTCCTAAAACGTGCAGTACAGAGGACGCTAACACGCTGATGAATTTAGGTAAGTCTCTATATTCTGAGGAAGCATTGCCACACCAAAATGGCCCAGCAGTATTTTGGGTTATATAAAAGCTAAATACATAAAGTGAAGTAAGTTGAAAATGAGAGATCTGGAGTAAAGTTCTGTTAGCAAGTATATTTTGATTTTTTTCAAAGTCGTATAGTCAGATATTTGGTTTGATTTATTGGGAGGCGGTATGCTTATTGGTGTATTTGCCTCCTTGGTTATTGCCATTGGACGGCCAATCAACACCAAAGAGGTAATTAAGGCCAAGAAAAAGAAGATAGAACGTGTTAAAAGTAATAACATCAATCGAACGAAAAGGTAAAAGACAAACGTTAACTTGAAAAGTATAATATGAAGATAATTTATTGGCTGATTGTTGTTATTGCAACAGTTACTTTCGTTACACACAAAACATGTAACTCAGGAAAAGGTCTCAGTGAGGTTAAAACGTTTCTTCAAACGACATTACCTGAAACAGAAAAGCCCAGGAATATAATATCTATTACCTCATCATCTATTTTATGTTGTAGCCATATCACTGTTGTCGAACAAAATGCATTTCCACGGTACTAGCTGTCCCGAGGTTGAGACGGAATATGATGCACGGGCCATCGTAACCCTGTAAGTATTGTAATTTACGTTACAGTCTAACGAGAACGTATTGTGTGCCGAGATAGGCTTGGTTTAGTTTGGTTTGGTTTGGTTTAATTTTATTAAACGTCCTATTGACAGCTAAGTTCATTTAAGGACGTGCCTCCATGTGTGTGGTATATATATGCGTGCTTGCGTGTGTGTATGCAGGAGACAGATGTGCTTCCCTCCTTCTGATAGCGCGGATCTGATGCCAACTTTATAGTAATATCTCACTGAAATACTTTGCAGAAGGAACCCAGCACAGCACTAGAGATGGAAGAAAAAAGGTTATGATGTGATATGTGGTGACATTTCATTAAAAGGACACTTTGATTTGATTAAAGAGTGAAAGAGAGAGCAGAAATCTTGAAACATGTTGCAAGCAAAATCTAAACCTCGGTTTCCTGGGCCACATGTTGGCCACGTAATTCTATCTACTATTCCACTATTTAGTTGCTTAACGGCCCAGCAACGGTGGAGTCATAACGTGTCTAATAAGAATAATAAAGAACACTTAAACAAGAGGCCCATGGGCCTTAACGGTCACCTGATATATTTATACAGAGAGTTGATTTCGTTTTTAACATGAACAGAAATATTATTCAAAGTGACAAAAAACAATAAAACCACCTTATTCAATATCTAGCATACAGATTTCAGACTAAAAAGGATTTGAAACTAGCACCTCTGATTCTAAACAAGGAAAATGAAGAAATTTTAGCACACTGACTCCCTTGAGCCCCACCCTACAGCCCTTGGGGGTAGGGCTGGCTCAAAATTTTCAAAGTATCAAACTGTCAATTCAAGGTTATAATTCCAATCAAGTTATTAACATGTAATATTCAAAGTATCATTTGCCATTATAAACCATAATAAATTTTGCCCCCCCCCCCCCCTCCTTCCCCAGGGGGTAAACGTGAGACCCTAGGGTCATAAACCTTAAGACCCTTCCATCTATGAAGAGTATTTGATTCTACCATATCTGGGTCTTGAGAAGAAGATTTTTGAAATTTCAGTAAATTCGACCCTTTTTGGCCCCACCCATCAGCCCCTGGGGGTCAGTCAGGGCTGATATGTGCTTATTATCAAACTGCTACCTAATACTGATAATGCTAACCCAAATTGAATTACTTCCAATGGAAATTAAACAAATGTTGGTCCAAAATGTGATTTCCCTATATAAACTATAGTAAAGTTTACCCCCTCCCCAGGGGGAAACGTGAGACCCCAGGGTCAAGAAATTCACAATTTCGGTAAAGCACCTTAAGACCCTTCCATCTATGAAGAGTATTTGATTCTACCATATCTGGGTCTTGAGAAGAAGATTTTTGAAATTTCAGTCAATTCAACCCTTTTTGGCCCCACCCATCAGCCCCTGGGGGTCAGTCAGGGCTCATAGGTGCATACTATCAAACTGCTACCTAATACTGATAATGCTAACCCAAATTGAATTACTTCCAATGGAAATTAAACAAATGTTGGTCCAAAATGTGATTTCCCTATATAAACTATAGTAAAGTTTACCCCCTCCCCAGGGGGAAACTTGAGACCCCAGGGTCAAGAAATTCACAATTTTGGAAAAGCACCTGTAGACCCTTCCATCTATGAAGAGTATTTGATTCTACCATATCTGGGTCTTGAGAAGAAGATTTTTGAAATTTTAGTCAATTCGACCCTTTTTGGCACCGCTCCTCAGGCCCCTGGGGGCGTAGCACTAAACCGGCAACTATTTTTGTTGACCTTTGTCCATGGAAGGTCCCTGCAAAATTTCATTGAAATTGGTTCAGGGGTTTTGGAGAAGAAGTCGAAAATGTAAATTGTTTACGGACGCACGACGGACGACGACGGACAAAAGGCGATCGCAATAGATCACTTGAGACTTTGTCTCAGGTGACCTAAAAACTTCATGCGCCAAAAGAAAATGAATAATAAAAGAAAAACAAAGCTCAGATATTAGTAAGTATTTAAAAAAAAAAATCACATTTCATGGTATATTAGGATATGCTTCATACAAATTGTACATGTCAATGTTTTCATATCAAGGACAGCAAATCCTATATGTCTCGAATATGTCTAAGATTGGCATGTTCGATCAATACACGAGGTTTATGATCTGTCAATTGGATGGTCACAATCGATTTATGATATCAGGGAAATGGGGTTTAAATGATAAATTTCCGGTACAGCAACAATGCACAAAACAAAACAAAAGATATACATTTTAGTAGTAGCTTTTAAACGAAAGGGATTTAAACTCCAAGAGAAAAATCAAAGGCCTAGAAATCAAAGTTGTCACGATGTCATAGTTTTGAAGTAATACGTATTAAGCACAGACTGAAGTCTTAATTATTGTGTATATGCCTTCCAGAACCATCTGCAGTATTATTGGGTTGATGATGCTCCTCGGAACAGGATACGACGTCATCGTTGTGCGATATTTAAGGGAAAAAGAGCGGAAACAAGAAGAAGAAGACAAAGATATGACGAAAAACATGGACGCTGGGCAGTATCAGTCAGAATCCTCATTGAACGAAAGCACCACACTTCTAAAGAAATTACCAAAACCAACTGTTGTTAGGAGTGAAGAAGGTAAGATGTGTGACGAAAATACGTTTTGAGAGATCCCACATACAATAGTATGCCATAAGTTGGTTGGTTTGGTTGGTTGTCAAGGGTGTAACGTTCGTTCAACAGCTAAGGTCATTTAAGGAAGTGTCTCCATGCGTGTACAATATGTGCGCTGGAGACAGGGTAATCGTTAGATGTTGCAGCTAACATCAGGCCTACCAATAACAGTAGTTGAACTAACCCGTCAACATACATGGACAGTTGAAGTCGGCGTGCATATGTATTTTGGCTGTAATAATTTGTGATTATGCCTAGTGAGCTTCGTTAAGGTGTACTAATTTTTATCTATGTCTTAGCAATAGGTGATACATATTAAAACGTCATACACATAATATAAAATCTTCCAACATTATTGCAATCTAAACTTATAATGTATAACGTATTACGAATGGCAAAAGTTAACATGTATACCCCCTTGAAACCGTTGCACTATGTATCATTTAATTGCTTCCGGTGATTGCAACAGACCGACTGACTGCTGGGCTTGGTTGGTTTTGGTCTGGTTTTAAGAGTTTCGCGTCCTTTGAACAGCTTATTATGTTAAAGGACATGAAACTGTGTATACCATATGCGTGTACGGTTTTCGTAGGATTTGACTAAATCAATAACAAGGTAATGGAAATTAGCAAACCCAAGACTGTTAAAAACGCAATAGTTAAAAAACATATTGTTACTGAGCATTCTGATGAAAGTGACAGAGTACTAGTCTTTTGAAAAGTAATAAAAACATTGGTTGTGTCACAAGAATCTTTTCATAATCCTTACATGCCAACACGAAGGAATTGTTTAGAAAGAAAAGTTCAATTACATAATTGACAATATCAAAAAATAGTTTATTTTACATTTATCCTGTTACTTCGTAGGAGTGATCGGAAAAATCCTGATGGCATTTTCGGTTATGACGAATGGTGAAAAACTACTCAGCACTGCGCAAGGCGAGGGAAGTCTAACCGCAATAAATGGCATGCGATTTCTGAGTATCACGTGGGTCATACTTGGTCATAATTTCTCGTCAGGGACATCGTTTTCAGGTGAGAGTGCAGATCCGCTTACTTACACCTATGATATAAATCAAGAGTTTGATCGCCAGTAGAACTCAAGACTTATGATTGTTTCTAAAATTTATCGTATTTTATTAAAGATTAATTGAACGTAAATAATCATAGATTGATTGCACAGAAACTATATCAAATACACGTTTAATAGAGGGTACATTATACAATCTGTCGCGTGTTTCTTTGAAATAATCGCATTCAATCATAAAGTGTTTGACTGTAAATGGTTGACAATATGCATGGCATTAAGGTAAAATACATTAAAAAGAGTGTATGAAAGAGAAAAGTAAACATTTGTTTCATCTGAGATTATTTGTAGAAAAAATTACTTAAGAAAATTTGAAAATTTGAAAAAAAAAGTTTTTTACTTTTTACGAAAGAGGTGGGGGGCCAGCAAAAAAACATCTCATTTCTTTTAACATTTTACTCTTTTTTTTTCCAGTAAATATGCTTCCTTTCTACGGGAAGATGATAAATAGATGGACATTTCAAACAATAGGAAATGCTTTTGTATCCGTGGATTCCTTCTTTACCATGAGGTAATCGCCATATTCTACGTTGAACTCTAAAGGGAGTGTTTTACCTTACTTAACGTGCAATTTGTTTGAGAAAGGTAGAAGGATAGAACCAAACTGAGATTTTAAGTTTGTTTCGACCAATGAAAACCCCCCAAAATGGAGCCTCAACTTATCTCCATAGTTATTGCAACGACCAAACATCAATCTCGTGTATATTACATCACAAAACTTTAACTAAATACCCTTGAGCAGTGAAATATACAGCACCAGAAATTTTATAAATGTGTTTGCGTCACTGTTGCACATATTTGAAATGAAAAAGGAAGCTGAAAGATATTGTCACTCGTGACTCGTTGTCAGCCACACTACTGACAAAATGACACAGCATAAGTTTTCATCAGATAGATCAATAAACTACGGGAAAAGTGTCATTATTGCAATGAACGATTATCAGTCCTATATTTGCTATAGAAAATATATTCTTTATATTTCTAGTGGTCTTCTACTATCCTACCTGTTTATGAAGGAAATGAAGAAAACAAACGGAAAGATGAATTGGGCTATGTTTTATTTTCATAGATTTTGGAGGTATGTAAGAGAGCACCCTTGACCATATTTTATACAGAAAATGACAACATGTATATACTCAACCAACTTTATCTTGTATCAATGGTTTATATCATTCCCGCCCCTATGAGCTCTACATATAAGTAGTACCGGGTTGTTATGTATTGTCAACCGAACTTGATATCAGTCGAAAATTCCAAAATATTAGCGTCTCATCAAGACAGGAAAGTGTGTACAAGGTTATCAAATAAAACAAATCAGGAAGATGTTAAAATAAGGATAAAGGACCACACCAGCGTTACAATTCATAAATGTTCATAGAATAAAACGTTCCGGAATATGTGACCATAGTCATTTTTATGAATATTTGTTTGTATCTGTATTCCTTTGTCAGGAGTAAACTTGATATTATAAAAATAATGTCCAAATGTGCGTAATAATTTTAGATTGACGCCGCCTTATATGCTGGTACTGATGATAAGCGCTACACTGACTCGATACATGGGTGGAGACGGAGGACCCCAATGGGTAAAGAAGGGAATTGAGGTGGATTATTGTGAGGACACCTGGTGGACAAATCTTTTATACATTAACAACCTCGTAAAAACAAATAAAATGGTAAGTACCCAATGTGCAAAGAAAACTTTGAAACACTTCTGGAGTAGTTTTACAATTTATCTGTTGAGTTATAAATGGCTCAACACAGAAAAGGTCTTCAGGGCCAATTAAAGGTGGATAAAACACGTCAAAGGAAATTACATCAAACAAACTAAAAGATAAAAAGACAAATGTCAACTTGAAAAAGCAAAAGTTACATGTTTTTAACAGACCAACAGTTTTCAGAATGGTTAGAATTGCTGTGATATTGACAGTTTCGAAGAGAGATTTTAGACTCTTTATATTACTATAAAATGAATTCTGATGTTGGCTGATAGTCAATTCAATTTAATAGCAAGTGCTTTGCTGTAAATGGTTCTTGGCATGCTGCACATGGAGAGGGGTCTTCCACTTTTAATAAATAAGAATAGGTAATGTATGAAGGGCCCATCCGGAGACCTGCAAGGACCACCTCGTCTCTGCGGGTTTCTCTATAAGTTGGATACCATTCACCAATTTTGGGTTTTACAGAGTATAATTTGTTGTCTACGGTTTTAGAAATCTTTAAAATAAAGTTTACAATTAACAGGTAGTAAACGTGATACACGAACGTAAGCCTCACAACATTTCGTATAACCTTGGTTAAGTACCTTTCCACTATAAATAAAAACTAATAATGTGTTTCTGCTGTTTCAGTGTTTGGGATGGTCATGGTATTTGGCAAATGACATGCAGTTTTTTGTCATCAGCCCTTTGATGCTTGTACCGTTATACTAGTAAGTACATTTATTATGATGCTGTCGGGATACTTATTCCAACCCTGCCGTGTCAAATTTGATTCTTTTTACACTTCCTTGTACCTAATCGAAAAATCGGTGGCTAAAATGATGACGATGAAATAAACAATAATAATCAACAACAGTGTTCTTAAAATAAAATACAACTTGACACTGGACCAACAATCGTTAAACTGTCGGTTTACCTGCTCATCGGTTGGACCTTGGCTCTGTTACGCTACAGCTTTATCCAGAATAAAAAGTTAAAGGAAGATTACTGAATGCATGAAATGCTGTATTGGAATTCTCCGATATATTGCTAGCAGTTGGGCAGCGATCCTTATAAGGGACACAACGTTGTCACTATTTGATTTATAGTTTGAAAACGATTGTTTTTCTTTACAGCAAGAAATACCTTGGTTTCCTCGTCTGTGGCGTGCTCCTTGTGGCTTCGTTTATAACTACTGGAGTGTTGAACTCTAACCATGGGTGGCCCGCTTCCCCTCTGGACCAACGAGTAGGTCAAAGGTACGTATTCAATGCATCATTCCCAGGAAATGTACTGCTAATTAATTTAATGACGTTTTAGCTAACTGGTCTTCCTATGATCCATTTTAATGGTTCTGTGTAAATCAAAATCTTTGCGTCTTATCAACAGCGGGGACATACCAAAGTCCTTGGAAATAGTAGTTGTTATTCCCTGCTAAACGTTCAGCATTACGGGAATGGCAACAACTCGTTCATCCGTTGTCAGTATAATGTATCCGGGCGGGACGCTGTGCTCGCACGGTGCCTTCGGCATACCACCTCAGTGAGATAGCACTACAAGAGATCCCAGAGGGATCTTGGCGCCCACCTTTGTACAATCTGCATTAATTCTTTGTCAGTTCGATCTTTTCTCTTCTTTCCTCTAATCTGTTTGATCGAGTCATGTCAACAGTAAATGCACCTTGAGTTAACTTTTAATCTAAACTTAATACTGATGTGTATGAAAGCCAACATTCAAAGTGAGTTTGTCATTTAACATATTTACTAGTACAGTACTTAATGTAAAAGAAATAGAATCGATCATTGCAATATGAGAAAGATCTGTTTAGTTCTTCTTTTAACCCATTTTGTTTTTATGATCAGTCTCAAAATATAACATGCACAACGAGCTATCAAGGGGAACCTACATATAAAATTTAAGAAAGATTCCTCTGATACCTCTTGAGTAATAGCGATAACAAACTTTCACTTTCAAAATCCAAGATGGCTGCATGTCGGCCATGTTGTTTATCCGTTCAGTCTCAAAAGTTGCCCTGCACAGCTAAAGACCAAGGGGAACCTGCATATAAATTTGAGAAAGATCCCTCTGTTGCTTCTTGAGAAATAGCGATAACAAACTTTCACTATCAAAATCCAAGATTGCTGCCTGTCGGCCATGTTGTTTATCCGATCAGTCTCATAAGTTGCCCTGCACAGCTTAGCCCCAAGGGGGACCTACATATAAAATTGGAGAAAGATCCCTCTGGTGCTTCTTGAGAAATAGCGATAACAAACTTTCACTATCAATATCCATGATGACTGCCTGTCGGCCATGTTGTTTATCCGATCAGACGGACGACGGACCACGGACGTTAAATAGCCCACCATCAGATGATGGTGGGCTAATAAAGTCGGAATCAGATCCGCGCTATCACAAGGAGGCAAGAACACAAACATACCCTGTCTCCTGCATAAACACACAAAAACATACATACACTACGCTCATGGAGGCACGCCCTTAAATGTTCTTAGCTGTTAATGTAATAGCACGTTAAAAAATTAAACGAAACCAGCAGCGAAGATCTTATGATCCCAAGAGCCATCTTATACCGCCAGTCCACTTAAATATTACGAGTGGACACAGAATCATGATAAAGGTCACAAATGTTCAGTGATCATTGTAGGTCTCTGTTTTGTTTCCTAGAATTCTACATGGAATTTTATGTTAGTCCTCGCTAACGGTAATGCAACAAGAATAAAACGGGTTAATGGCTTTCTATGTGCTAGAATACCGATGATACATCTTTTAAAAACAAGTAGAGGAAGATAAAAGATCAATGCCAAAAGTTTTGTGACGCATGTGAGTTGTAAATATTTTGGCGTCCACAAGCGAAGAACAGTATCACGACTCAAAATTGGACGTACAATTTCTCATGCGATCATAATGATGTGGGGTACAGCAGGCTATATCCCTAAATGACCAACACAAAGTTAATAAGTAAATAAGTATTTGTCATATATATATTTTTCATTGACAGCGCGATTGAATCGTACATGGACGACTATTATTTCAAGCCTTGGTGTAGGATCGGTCCATACATTGTTGGAATCCTGGCCGGATACGCGCTACAAGCCTGTGACTGTCGAATGAAGATAAACAAGGTAGGAATTCCACCTCCGATATTTCCTCGTAGAAAGTGACAGTTTACAATAATTGCTTTATAAGTGCAAAACGATTGATGGATCGACGGACAATAACACAAAAGACCATAACTTAAAGAATAATATTAGAGCGTGTAAAACATTATGAAACCGAGACAAAATGTACTTTTGTTTAAATGGCAACAATGCAATGTATAACAAATGACATTATTTGAATTGATTCCCAACCAGGAATATTTCATTTGTAACGACTATCTTGAAATTTAATCTGTTGTTACCGTTAACCTCGTCATTTGTCTAGTTTATATATCTGTGAAGTAAATTGATTGGTAAATCGTTACATTGATTGAACCTGTTGTTTTTCTTTACAGTTTGTGAACCTGTTGGGCTGGTTAGTAGCGACCTTTACAGCCTGTGCAATCGTGTACGGCCTTTATGACTCTCTGACTGGCACGATGTTGACAGAATCTGTCGCTGCATTCTACAATACTGTACACAGAAGTGCATGGGGCGTTTGCATCTGCTGGGTCATATTCGCATGTGCAACTGGAAACGGAGGTAAACTATTCATTGCGCATGACAAGTGATGCCCCGAATTCAACTAGTATTCATAGATACATTTCATTGATAAATGAGATATAAAGCAGAAACCTGTCACCATTAACAATCATAAAAAGTTAATAACTAACGGAACAACTGAAGCAGAGGACAATATTAAACTACTAGCTCTTATTACTTATTATACGACGTATACTCATCCAAAAATGATGGGAATGGAAAGTTTTTATATTGTAAGAAGGATTCAATACCGATACCATTTTTCTATTTTTAGTGTACTGTTAATCAAATCAAAAAAACGTTTTCCAGGTTTTGTGAACACATTGTTATCCTGGAAGGGCCTGGTTCCACTCAGTCGCCTATCCTACTGCGCCTACCTAATACATCTCATTATCATCACTGTGCGTGCGAACTCAATGCAGATTCCTGTGTATGTCTCAGTATTCGAAGAGGTAAGTTTCGTTAATGTTTATTTTGCAGTGCTCTAGCATCTCATATTAAGTTCTAACACTGTAGGAGTTTTTATTTAAGCGTATTATCTAATGTTAACACTTTAGCGCATTGATGAATTGACACACTAATAACATAGGTACATGTAATAGGAAACTGCCTCCAAGAACTTTAATAAGTGAAAACATAAATTAGCAGAACGCGCTTATATTAGAATACCGCTAAAATACGTACATTTTCAGTTGTAGGAATTATCATTTTGTATTTAAGCAACGTATATCTTGGCAGCTTTGAACGAAATAGACAAGGGGATAGAGATCTAACCGTTTGATCAGCATCGGGAAAATACGTATATACATTAAATATGGTAAAAAGTTATAAAGGTAAATGAATTGAAACAGTACAGATACCACTGTATTCGGACAAAGCTGATCAAGCTGAATATACTTATCAGTAAAATACGATATGTTCGACGAAATAGGTGATTTTTTTTAATTTGAATTTTTGAATAGGGTTTTGCGTGCTACCAACAGCTAAGGTCATAGTGACATATGTATTTATGTACTAGAGGTATCTCCTTGCAAGAACGCGGATTTGATGCTGACTTTAGACCCACTGTATTCGGATATTAGTTGAATATTTATTTATGAAATATAATGATCATTTGATGACAGATATCTTCACTTATCGAACGTTTAGAAGAACTAACTTCTCTGGTGATGATGGCGATGCCAAATCAAGCCGACATGCGATAATGATACTTAGTCAAATGTCCTGACATCATGTTATTTAAGGGGTTACCGGAAATCTTTGTTTTGTATATTTAATGAAAATTAAATTAGATGTTTTTAATGACATTTAAACCTATAAATCATGACATAATTTGTATTGTATAATTAATCTACACGTCGATATACGGAAATTTATACCTACTTTTACTTTGCAGGTGGTGTCGTATCTCGGAATTCTGATGATGACATTTGGTTTAGCATTTATAACATCCCTTGCATTTGAATCTCCAATGATGGGATTAGAAAAAGTTTTATTTCCAAAGAAACGAAAATGAAAACACTCCTACGTAATTGTGGACTCTTCTAAGACATCCGTTCAAAAGTACAATGTCGGAGCATATGACGTGGAAATATACCGTACAGAAGGGAGTCGAGATTAGGAAAATCCCATTTTTACGTCATTATGCATTTGTACATGATTTGAACGGTTCCACGCCACGTGTTCAAGTGCTGTGAAAAATGTGTTCCGTTTTCGATAGTCTACAAGTTGAGATTAATAGAAAATTGATTATACGCCAGCTCGTATTATCAGTTAAAATACGTCCGTAATGACATAATCTGCGACATGGGGTTGTGTTGTAATAAAATAACTAGGAAAATAGATATCAGATATTTGATAAACAAGGGGGACAAATTAAGTACAAACAAGTTTATATTTAGGACAGAAAGCTAGTAAAAAAAGGAAAATACGATTAACTTACATAGATGTTTCCTGGCTTAGAATGACACACGTCACGATGACTCAACTTTTGTTCATACATTAGCTGAAGGAAGCGTGCCAATGCAAGTCTCTACTTTGATTAAACTGATATCAATTTCACATTGTGACCGGTTTCAAAGGTGATATTGGCCACAGTGTGAAAATAACACTTGTTATTAACCAATTAAAGCGGTTCTTCTCATTCACTGCATCCAAAGCGCAGAATGCGTTGGTCTTAAATGAAGCGACGATAGACTAAGTGGTTTATATCTTTGCTAGATACACAAAGATATTTATCTAGCTAAAATGTTAGTAGAAACGGTAGCAATGCATGGAATCGCCCATTCAAAATGGCGTGCAACCCAGTTGTCAATCGTGACACCAGCATATGGCAACTAATACGCTATTCAATCCATGTTTTGACGCAGTAACATTTTGGTTGTTATAGGTAGTTTCAAAATGAAATAAATATATCATTTGTTTTTACCCATTGAAAATTATGTTTATCTTGTATTGCAGAGAATAAACAGACATGTTCACGATCGCAAATGAAATATTTACGGTACTCGACGGGAATTTATAGCAATATTCATTTTATAAAGTAACCATGTAAAAACCATATCTTCTTTTTTATTGTACTTCTATTAACATGTTAAGATGGTCAGTTGTGTTGTTCCTTTTTACGATTAAACTAATTTGTTGAGAATTTATACAACAAAGTATTATTTTGTGTCAGTTGTATTTATTCTTGCACAACAAAGCCAAATTTCGAAGTTATTTCTGTAAAATTTGATCAGCATGCTAAATACTTCTCTTTATCTTCAGCCATTTCCATTGGTTTCCTTCAACCTCTTGTTCACTTTTCGCCGATTGACCCATTATGATATATTAATGTTGGAGGGCCCTGAATCACTAAACATACGTATTTTTTAAAAAAAGGGAATGGATGAACATAAAGGCCAATCATGTGGTCATGAATGCATTTGTCTGGTTATACCCCGACATGTTTTATATGGTAAAAAGGTGGGGATCTCAACTGTATTCAGGTTTAGGCCCAAGTACTTAATTCTTCGAAAGGATTTAATTATACCAACACACCGCCTCCAGTATACACTACATACACGCAGTCACGTCCTTAACTCTTTCCGTACCGTTGTCGTGTACACAAGACAACAATATGTCATCCTGGTCTCCGTTGTCGTGTACAGACGACAAAATAATAGTCCGTCTCATCCTCGTTGTCGTGTACACGATAAGCTACTTTGGAGTTGCATGTCTTATGTTAAGCTGGTTTTAGCACACGAAAGTCGCGTAATCCAATTAATTGTCACTAAAAGCAGCACCCATTAGTTGGAAAGAAATATTTTCTAAGGTGTAGAGTAAATACTTTTCATTATGTGACCTATTGTTTTCGAATTTGAAGCAAGATGTTTGCGTTCGGTGTCTCAAATTGAAACAATATGGCGGCAACCTAATTCGATACGAACACTGGTAAATTCATCAAAATATTATATATTTGAGACTTATGGAAGCAAATATGAATATTTTGATACAAGTCTCGATAAAATTTAATCGTATTTATAAAAGCTTAACGACTTCGTAACCATAATTAATCCCCATTGTGAACCTTCACTACAACGCTGTTTTGAATACAAGGAATCGTATCGTTCGTTGCCGGACTATTGTCGATTTCTCAGTCATAATCAGCTGCCAGATAGTCATAATGCTACGAAAATGAAGACATATGTATCTATGAACAATAACATGTAACAATAACGATATTTGTTCACAGTTACCCGTTTATTTCTTGCAGCAGTTACACCTCGTCGAAAAAATACATTAAAAATCCGCCATTTTGTTAAATGTGCGGGGGCGAGTCTAGTAAGGACATCCGGTACGGAATCCGGACCGGAACTGCGGTACGGAAAGAGTTAAATGACATAAGCGGTTAATAGTTTCCACATCTAATAAACCAAACTAAACTACATGGGCTGAAAGTAACCCTTGGTCATTTAAGGTAGCATAAATGGATTCTTATCGTAATCTTCTTTTCATAACAAGAAATCGGGTATGTAATTGTGGATTTGGCACTTTGGAAGGATTAATGAAAGAGCACTTCCGGATAGCTTGGGTATATTTGTCTCATTTTATCGAGCATATGTAAATACAGTTAAAGGTCGAGAACTCGACCGTTTCAGAGTGAATATTTTTGGAACGTATTTACACGCTTAATGTACAAAGATACATCAAAACACATCTTAGCAATGAATTAATTTGCAAGCTGACACGTACTTCAGAAAAACAAATGGTTCAAACACAATTCAGTAACATTTCTATGCGCATATATTCAGTGCTATAATAACTTTGGTTTGGTTTGGTTTAGCATTGTTTAACGTCCTATCAACAGCTTTGGTAATTTAAGGACGGCCTCCCTTTGTGTGCAAGATGCATGCGTGCAGTGTATGCGTGTTTGTTTTGGGAGGCTGCGATATGTTCGTGTTTGTCTCCATGTGATAGCGAGGAACTGATGCCGACTTTATAGTGCTATCTCACTGAAACATGCTGCCAAAGACACCCAGCAGGACCCCACCCCGTCACATTATACTGACAACGGGCGAACCGGTGGTACCACTCCTAAATTGCTGAGCCTTAAGCAGGAGTAGAAACTGCCATTTTTACAGACTCTGGAGATCAGACTAGAGTTTGTTCAACTTCTCGTCGTTCCTGATGGCCAACTGCAGATGAAGGGGGATGTCTCGGCCAGGGGACAGAACCCAAAGCTTTCCTCACAGAGGCGAACGCTCAACTAAATGCCAAATGGGATGCATTGTCAAGGGAGATAAAGAAGAAAGTTGTTTAGAAAGAAAACAAAAGATAAGATCCCAAATTAAGTCGCCTCTTACGATCAAGCAATGGGTGTAGCAGGTACAATTCTCACGCTCTACCTGCAGGTACGGCCATTATAAGTTACCAGATACCAGGTTCGTAATTCCAGTATTGCATTATATTTTTGAACCATTTATGAAAATGTCTTTAATTTGCATAACACATGCAACGTCTTAAAATTGTGTATTAAATCGCGATCCCTCTACCAATGCTAGAAAATGTAACGTAATGCATCGTTTACTTTTTTTTCTGATATGACAATGGCTTTGCTAAACCATTTATAAAATAATAAACCATACCATGCTGATTGGTTTGGTTTAATTTTGTTTAACGTCCTATCAACAGCTAAGGTCATTTAATGACGTGGCCATGCTGAACAGTTTCAATTATCAATATGCAGACTTGGTTATGTGGCTAGTTGGCCGTTATATAACTGTGCTTTACCTCTCTTAGTCTAGTATTTTCTAGAAAGACCCGAGATCATGTCACTTTGTTTGTATTGAGAAAAATAGTAATGTATAGTTGGACAATTCTCAAACCAGAGGTAGCCATTTGCTAAACATATTAATCCGGCAAAAAATTTAAATCCCATCCTTACCTCCCCTTTTTATCTACACGACTACTTTCAACAGTTTTTGTTCTTTCTAGTTGCTTTCGGTTTGTTGTTGTTTTTTTATGTTATAGTAAGGAACGTAAGTTGACTATCTATAGCTTCACCTTTACGCTGGCAGATTTTCATTTTGGACAACAGAATGAGCTACAATTTTTTGGAATGTAAAATGACATTGATAAATTACCTAACAGCTTAGTTAAGTGGCGTTTTACATTTAATTTTAGCGGTTATATGGGCTAGTTATGACCATCATATACGCATATAATAAACAAGACACCAATAGGGCCAGTATTGCTCACCTGGATAATAAAGAAACTATGGAAAAATATTCTTTGTACATATAATAACTATTTCCAAATATTTGCTGTGTCTCTCAGCAACACCCTTCCCTTATTAGGTCCCTTCTTTCTGCCCCTATGAATTGAGGTGGATTTTAAATATCAATCTTAATTTCTCCTATTGATATGCCCCTCTTTTTATACAAAATTGAGTCCTCTTAGCCCAAGAATGCTCCACACAACATTTGGTTAAAATCCCTCCAAATAAACTAAGGAAAAAAAGATTTTAAACAAACCTCTCTATTTAAACAAATTGACTTCCCCTTGCAAAATGATGATCTGTCCTAAATTTGGTTAAAATAAGTCCAATTATACTGAAGAAGTATGATTTTATCCATAAAGTTAATGAATACTATTAGGATTTTAAAGACATTCAAAAGTTTTCCCTATTTAGCCCCACACCCTCCGTTTCTACACAATTGAGTCCCCTTTGCCGAAGGATGCTCTACACAAAAATTGTTCAAAATCTCTCAAATCATACCAAAGAAGAAGTATTTTAATCATTCATTTTTACATTCCCCCTATTTGGCCTCATCCCTCTGCCCAAGAGGACACACTCTCCTTTCCTTTTAAATTGGGTCATCTTGCCAAAGGATGCTCTGGACCAAATTTAAATAAAATCCCTCTAATGGTAGAGAAGAAAGGGGATTATGAATATTGACCTCATTTCCCCTTTGGGGCCTCATGCATCCGTCTGCTCCCCGAGGGGCCACACCTTGTAAAACAATTAGACCCCTTTGCTCAAGGATGCTCTAGTGTGATTAAAGGAAAGAAATTCGTGCACTCAACATTTATAAGGACATAACAACATTTGTTTTTTGAGCATATTTACTAGACCCGCCGATGTTTTTTTGGGGCAGACGTTGAAATAACACATATTGATGATCAGAACTCTACGGCGGTAACTTGAAAATGGCGATGAAGAGATCAGACCTATATCACAACAAAATACACCTGGGGCCTGTTCGTTTATGCCGAACAACCGGTTTGACCGTTTATAAATGTAACATTTTCGGGTATAAATCCTGGCGGACCTGCAAATGTGTAAGCAGGCTTTGGCCGATTAAACGAAAACGGCCCTGCATCTGTATCTGTATCGTTATTTTCCTCCTTTGTAGAAAAACCTCTGTTAGGAGTATTAAAATAGTCACTGGTTTGAACACTGTTTAAAATATACCCCCACCTATAGGAATTTATGTACACTGGGAAGATGCACGGTTAAAAGCATAAGTTCATGTATAACATTTGCACACGATTTTTAAAAGCACTCAATTCCCTGGTTGGTTGCTAGCGGCATCTCTTCATTGTCAGTCCCTTCAGTTGTAACTTCTTGAAACGTTCGATATGGAGTTTGTAACCTAGGCGCCTAGTGTGATAATTGACAAGTTCGTTTGGACTAGAGTTGGTTTTAGGCTGAAGCAGATAGCTACCATCGATGATTAGTTGGAGCATGACTGCGTCATTGTTAAAATCTGCCGTATTGCCCAGCAAGGATTGCGCAATATCCAAAAGTTGCTTCAATGGTTGCGTTCCTATTTCCTGTAGGGCCTTACAATGGAGTATAAAGTGTTCTTTCGTCTCGTCAGTATCTTCGCATAATAGACACGTTCCCTTTACCATGTTTTGGTTAAACGCTTTGCGGTTACTTTGTAGGATATAGGTTCCGGTTGCGAGTTTGAGCTTTGTGTTGAGTCTGGTAACGTCCCTTGGATTACCAGGTACTGTATCCAGGACTTGGTGATGTGTTCCCGGTTTGTAGGCATCAACACTTGGATGATCCAGAGAGCTATACATTCTTGCATGTAGAATTATCCTTTCCTTCCAGTAGTTATCTATGCTAATCTGAACTTGACGTTTCCATCCTGCAGCAGATACTGGGTTCTCG